GTTTCTAATCGCTCCAGGTGTTCCTATAATGACGACGAGAAGACTCTGTCATCAAGGTAAACTAGGCAGTTTTCGTTTTGGATTCCTCGTAGGATGCCATCCATGACCCTTTGGAATGTGGCGGGGGCATTGGATAAACCGAAGGGCATTCTGAGAAATTCGAAATGGCCATTTCCTGTACTAAATGTCGTTTTTTCAATGTCCTTTTCATTCATTTGTATTTGATGAAACCCACAAGCGAAATCTAAGGTTGTGAAATATTGGCACTTCCCTAGTTTATCCAGAAGGTCCGTGATATTAGGAAGAGGGTATCTATCTGGCATGGTCTTTGCATTGACGCCTCTGAAGTCAATAACTACTCTCCATTTCTGCTTCCCAGAAGCATCTGCTGTTTTTGGGACTACCCAAATAGGTGCAGACCAAGGAGAATTGCTTGGGCGAATAATATTCTGGTCCAGCATTTTCCTTATTTGCGATTCAACTTCTTGCTTATGAACGAATGGGTACCTATATGTTTTTGTATATAGGTGATTCGGCGAATTCCAGTATAGTCAAAAATATCGGTATCGTAATTTGATGCCACAAAATTATTTAGGTCAATTTGTTCTATTTCTTCTCTATTAAATGGTTCCACTTCAACTGGTCGTGAAAGATCTAATATAATTGGCTGACATGTATTGTTCAAGATTGTCGTTAAAGCGTATCCATTTTTTGCAATGCTTAGGGAGTTCGCAATCTCGCAATTATGCATTTTATACGACGGCGCTGAGCTGCCATCGAAAAGCTAACTTTTTTTTTCTAACATAATTTACACTTCTATCTGTAAATTTACAGATCTATCTGTAAATTTACACTTCTATCTGTAAATGTACAGATCTATCTGTAAATTTACACTTCTATCTGTACATTTACAGATCTATCTGTAAATTTACAGATCTATCTGTAAATTTACACTTCTATCTGTAAATTTACAGATCTATCTGTAAATTTACACTTCTATCTGTAAATTTACAGATCCATCTGTAAATTTACAGATCTATCTGTAAATTTACAGATCTATCTGTAAATTTACACTTCTATCTGTAAATTTACAGATCCATCTGTAAATTTACAGATCTATCTGTAAATTTACACTTCTATCTGTAAATTTACAGATCTATCTGTAAATTTACACTTCTATCTGTAAATTTACAGATCTATCTGTAAATTTACACTTCTATCTGTAAATTATTGTATTCTAAACAGTTAGAGGGCATTTTGGTCGTTATTTGTATGTACTCGTGCTCGTGCCATAGTGATGAGAAGGAGTGTTGTGGTGTGGATCTTTTAATTAAAATATTGAGATGGAAGAAGATATTACAGAAAGAAATAATCTCATTAGAACCTATTTCTTGTGCGGATTGAATCACTCTGAAATTATCGCTAGTCTTCAGACCAACGATGGAATATCTTTAAGCTTACGGCAATTGCGAAGAATATTGCGACAACTAGGCCTTTTCCGAAGAAGATGTTTTTCTTGCATCCCATCCTTGGTTCGGTTTTTAGAAACACAGCTTTCTGAGAGCGCCCAACTACACGGATATCGCTGGATGCATTTAAAATGCGTACAAAATGGATTCGTAGTTACACAGAAAACAGTTAGGCAGTTGTTACAAATACTTGATCCCGAAGGAGTTGAAACGCGACGGAGAAGACGGCTAAAAAGAAGAAGATACTTTAATAAAGGACCTAATTATATTTGGCACACAGACTGTTACGATAAATTAAAACCATTTGGTGTATGTATTACAGGATGTATAGATGGATATTCTCGATATATATTGTGGCTAAAAGCAGGCCCCAGCACTAGTGATCCAGTTATTATAGCAAATCATTTTCTTCAAACCGTTTTGAGGCTTGGTGGTTGTCCCCAAACAATAAGGTCAGATTTAGGCCCGGAAAATGTTACAATAGAGGGTATCCAAGGAGATTTAACAAACAACGGCATTAGAGTGCAAACTCATTTACCACCGTTTTTGTATGGCAGAAGTACCGCGAATCAGAGAATTGAGCCCTGGTGGTCGATGTTACGTCGACAAAACTCACAATTCTGGATGAACATTTTCCATGAGCTGAAGGACGATGGGCACTTTTCAGGCGACTTTTTGGACAAGGCCTTAATTCAGTTTTGTTTTCTGAACCTAATACAGGTAATTGTATTACTTTATTTTTAACCATATACAGAGTGGCAAAAAAGTCGCGCATAATACCTGTAACTTTTTGATTACCTCGTATAGGGTAAATTCGCCAGTAGTCGGCCACTTAACAGCATCTTCTGATAATGATAAATATAAAAAATATTATTCAAGACTTTAACTTAACGTTATTGTGCCATAGTTATTATTAGGTTATGTCCTTATGGTCTCCAACACTCAAAAACAGCATAAGATGTACATAACAATAAGAAAAAAATAAATAATCAAAATATACAATTTACCCAGTACTCGGCCGTCAAAAATCCAATGTCGGCCAATCGCCACCCAGTAATCGGCCGATATATTTTATTGCAACGCCAAACTTTTTTATCTGTTTTGATGATAAATTTCACTGGAAATTCAGAAAATTGGGAAAATTAAACACAAAAGTTATTACAAAATTATTTCTACCTAGAGGTACTTGAAAAAAATACAAAAATAAAAATTAATTTCTAAATAAATACATAAATAAACAGTGGGTATTTCTTCATTTGAAGAATGTCATTAAATTTTACCTTATGTGCAATAAAAATAAACAAAATCCCGATTTTTCACTCCTAAATAGGGAGGCCAACAAATTCGGTGCACATAAGGTGGAACCATCTCTCACAATTATCACATCCGAGATTTTTCAAGTCATCCTCTTCTACGTCACTGACGAGTTCATCGTCACATGCGGAACACTTGATTTGTTCAATCTTTTCTTCAACAACGATTTTTGTCTCATGTTTGGCCACTTCATGTTTAGTGTTTATTTTTTTATTCTCTTGCTTGTCATCACCTTTCTTTGATTTTTTAGTTCTAGTTTTTCCTTGTAAAGCAGTTTTAATTCCTCCCGTTGGCTTTTTGTTCTCTTTCTTGTTTTTTCTCCTCTCTTTTTTCTTGCTCATTTTTTTTTCTGCAATTCCTTCTCCTCTAGGTACTTTCTATATGCCAACGAGGATACAGCAGATGATTTTTGTAGCTTTCGTTGCGTCTTTGATTCCTTTAGCTTCATTCCTATTTTTCTTGTTTTCGTCTTTTTTTCCGGTTTCGTTTTCATCATCTTTGGTTGCGTCTTTGATAGTGTTGGTTTTATTTTTATTTTTCTTGGTTTCGTCTTCTCCTCCGGGTTCTTTTTTATTATCTTTTATTGCGTCTTTGATTGCTTTGGCTTCGTTTCTATTTTCTCTGGTTTCGTCTTTTTCTCCAGTTTCATTTTTATTATCCTTCGTTGATACGGCTCCGATTCTTTTGACTTTGTTTCTATTTTTCTTGATTTCCTCTTTTTCTCTGGTTTCGTGTCCCTTATCTTTCGTCGCGTCTATATTTTCTTTGACTTCGTTTTTACTTTTCTTGGTTTCGTCTTCTCCTCCGGGTACGTTTCTATTATCTTCTATTGCGTCATCGATTTCTTTGGCTTCGTTTCTATTTTCCTTGGTTTCATCTTATGCTTCAGTTTCGTTTCTTTCATCTTTTATTGCATCTTTGATTGCTTTGGCTTCGTCTTCCATTCCTTTGACTTCGTTTCTATATTTCGGGATATTTGTGAGTTGGTCTTCTAACTGTTGCCATGATCTGCAAGACCAAAGACAAAAGATCAACACTACCTGCAGGTACCAATATCAATGAGAATATAATATGGCCGAGCTCTGGTTTTAGTAATCCCAAAGTTGGCCTGCAATGAAGTCGTTATAGTTAAAGGCGGCCGACTATCGGATTTTGGTAAAAAAAACGTATATGTGTAGATTTTATTAGACTACCAAAAGTAGTCTGTAATAAAATAGCTAATATGGTCTAAATTCGCGAAATCGAAAATAATCCTATAGTCGACCGGGCGGCCGACTATATACCGGGTGCCCACGAGATCACTTTCCGGCTGCCATTTTTTTATTTGTTTATCAATATCAACGAAACTTGGTAGGGTTGATATTCTAACCAAATGCCATTTTTATGCATTTATGACAAGTTTTCCTGACTTCCGGTTTCACCGGAAATGACCGGAACTTTTGATTTTTAAATGGCACACCATGTATATTTTTTGTTTTTCGGATTTTACAGATCGTTTTACGCCTTGATGCACCAATTTTGAATCGAGTTTTGTCTAATTTTTGTTTTTAAATTAAATTTTATTTTTTTAACTAGAGTGCCATGATCATCCGAAAATGACTACATACTTCACTCAATTTCAGAAAAATACAACCTCAATTTTATCTTTGTAAACTTTTTTGATAGAGGTCTGTAAACTTCATTATTTTAGTATTTTTGCCCTAGCTCAAAAACTAGAATAGAAACAAATCACTTTCATAACATTACTAAATGCAGTATTTCAAAGCGAATCCAACGATATAATACACTAGACATTTTTCTTAATTTTCGTTCAAATATTTTTGTTTTATTATGTAGATAATTTTTTTTTTCTACTTAAAATTCAAAAACTTGGACAAAACTCGATTTAAAAGTGTTACATTGGGACGTAAAACGATCTGTGGAATCCAAAAAACAAAAAATATACAAGGCAGGGTGTGCCATTTGAAAATCAAAAGTTTTGGTCATTGCCGGTGGAACCGGAAGTCAGGAAAACTTGTCATAAATGCATAAAAATGGCGTTTGGTTAGAATATCTAACCAACCAAATTTCGTTGATATCGATAGGCAAATAAAAAAAATGGCAACCGGAAAGTAATCTCGTGGGCACCCGGTAGATGGCCGGCCTTTTGCGGACTCTATGGTCGGCCATTCGAAAATAATGGATGTTATTATTATTTTTTTATGTTTTTTGGCTAAAATGGTTAGTAAATTTACTCTTAAATTATATGCAATCGCAAACTTGGATGTAAAAAAGTTTAATAAGCCAGAAATTGCTATTTTCTACACCCTCCCTAACAAGCAAAATCGTTTAAATTTGCTTACCTTTATGAACACGATGTGCACCACAATTTTCACCTGTCATTGTAAAAAAACGGTGTTGCCGGGTTGTAATAAAATTCTATGGATTAGGTAGAATACACATTGGACGAATTTTTAAATGTGCAGGTTTTTGATTTTATGAACGGAATCAACTATTATTTATATAAAATTGCAACAACAGCCGACTACCGGGTAGGGGCCGACTATAGGCGAATCTACCAACGAAAATGTGACCTCAATGAACGTTGCTCAGTAAATTATCTCCCACAATTCTACTTGCCTGTGTCAGTTCTGGTTTGTTTGCTATCTAGACCAACTTTATTTTTTCAAACGTAACACCCTGTATGTGATTTCATATTTGGATTCTATGTAAAATTCTGAGCAGATTTCATGTGATATACCCTATACCTGAGTTCAACTGTTTTGGAAATATTGACAGTGAAAATTAACTTTTTTGCAACTTTGATAAGTACCTAGTGTATGAAACCTAAATGGTTAATTGTAGATGAAAACCGATTTCACATTCCTATCTTAGATTTTCATGAACTATCATGTGACACCAAAATCGGTTTTAAAGCCTTTCAAAGTTGCAAAAAGTCAATTTTCAATTGTCAATATTTCCAAAACAGTTGAACTTAGGTATAGGGTATATCACATATATGAAATCTGCTCAGAATTTTACGTAGAATCCAAATATGCAATCATATACAGGGTGTTTCATTAGAAAAAACAAAGTTGGTCTAGATAGCAAAAAAAACCAGAAGTGACACAGGCAATACCTATGTTTACCTAAGTAGAATTGTGAGAAATAATTTGGGTACTGAGCAACTTTCATCAAGGTCACATTTTCGTATACAAGGTAATTAAAAAGTTACAGATAATATGCGCGACTTTGTTGCCACTCTTATGTAATGTTGACATTAAGACTTTTTGAAAATTTGAAAATAATGTCACTTTATTTTTAACCATATATGAAATGTTGACATTAATGACTTTTTAAAAATTTGAAAATGTCACATTTCTGTTTTTTCATTTTCCTGCTCCATTTCCCGCACCAGGACGGGAAGTGAGGACGGGAAATTTTTTCCGTCCTCATTTCTCTACCTCATTTGGTTCGATTTGATTGTCACGAATTTTTTTTTCAAGAAATCAGGTATGGTTAAAAATAAAATAGTATACAGACCTCGACGGGAAACTTCATTGCTGTCTCGAAGTTTAGTTTAAACTATATCACCTCTTGACCAGCAATGAAGCATTTCCCGTCTCGGATTGTTATATACTATTACTTGACGTTACGGAGTTACTTACTTCTAATTGCATAGATTTTTTATCTATTTATTTATAGAAAGACTTGGATACGATTGCTTTAGAATGGAATCTGCATAGAATTACGAAATCCCGTAATTCTATTTCTCCACGTGGCCGCCCTACTTTACTGTTTCACAATCCACAACAGTTTCACACCAAGGACTACATTCACAGTGCTTCCAGTGGAGACATTGATCGATGGATCTCCTTAATCCCTATTCCTGAAGTCACATCCGATAAGGACGTATACGATCTAGCCTCAATTGTATTGGAGGAAAAACAGTGGAATAAACCACAGGATGTCATTACAGCGAGGGAACTGTATATACAGCTAAGAATTACAATACTTAACTTGCTCAGAAGGCCTTCATAGAAATCGAAAGTGATGCCGTTGGGTGTTTATCATGATATGACTAATAATATGTTTTAAAAGATAGGATTCGTGGGTAAAGGGAGAATTAGGTATTATGTAATTTTTTTTATTAAATTTTTTTATTTTCTTTTTAATAATAATATTATAATAGTAATTTAACATTCGATCATTATTTAGAGGACATAGTACCTACATAAATTATAGTCAAAATACACAAATAATAGCATCTAGCTGATTCACAGCTGGTATGTGCTGATAGAACCCAAACTCAAATGTTATGCACAATGCACAATTAATATCTATGTGCGTACAAAAGTTAGGGCATTATTGTAAAAGCAATAAGTCTTTACAAGTTTATAGTAGTTTCACAAATTGTGTGTTGTTCATATACAGAGTGGGGTACGAAAAACTTCCCACCCAGGTTTTCTCAGGTGTAAGGTGATTAATAAAAAATCGCTCGGACACGTCTTTTATTGGTATTTTCACCTCCTACCTGTCAACCCTTAGACTGGGGTGACAGGTTCCCCCAAAATTTCAATAGGAAAGGGGGGACGAATGATACGCCATTTGGTAGCTATTTTTATTAGGATTATATTTCCAAAGTTTCAGGTTGCTACTATTTACCCTGTCGAAATGAGAGCTTGTCAAAGTTGTGTGTTTTTTACCCCATAATAACACAACAGATTTTTCGAGTGAGTAAAAACGAACCATTTTAAGCTAAACTGTTAAATGACAATACATACTTCATTTAAATACCAATGGTATTTCATTATTATGGATAGATACCCTTGAAAATCTGTTGTTTTGTTATTATGTGGTGAAAGCCACACAGTTCAGATACTCGGAAAAAGCATTTTTCCTAACTTTGACAAGCCACCATTTCGGCACTCGGCAGGGTAAATGGTAGCAACTTTAAACTTAGGGGATAAAATCCTAATAAAAATATCTACCAAATGACGTATTACTCACCCCTTTCCTATTAAAATTTCGGGGGTATCTGTCACTCCCACTTAGGGGTTGACAGGTAATGGGAAAAAATACCAAAAAAATTTGTCCCCAAAAACAAAAATTGACGTGTCCGAGAGATTTTTGATTAAACACCTAACACCTGAGAAAACCTGGCTTAGAACTTTTTCGTGCCCCACCCTGTATATAAAGTTACTTCTACAGGCTATGCTAAATTTTTTCATGTTTTTCAGCCGTCTTTCTAACATTCTCAGGCAGCAAGTTGTAGAATTTTGGACTCAAATAACTAATATAATAAATCTTTGGTTAATATTTTTATGACTACTTGGAATCCGCAGATTGCCCAGTGTTCTACTCCTTGTCGCATGGCAATGGTCAACATATTTCTTCAGGTTCTCTCCTTTGTGGACATAAGAGCATACAGAAAGCACATACAAGGATCTAACATTGAAAATATTTTTATTTGCAACCATATATGTAATCTTGACATTACTGACTTTTTAAAAAGGATAACGCACACCTTATATGGCATTTTTGGGCTCTATGGATTTTGCTAATTTTTTGATATGTTGTAGAGGATTTAATTCCTAACAACTTTTAAATGGAACAAAATCTTGTAGGTATTATGGTCTTTGAGATATTATGAGCGTTGAAAGATGAACTTTTTTGCGACTTTTTGTGTAGAGAGTATACGAAATACTGGTGCTACTGGTGTTTATCAGTCAAAATATTGACAGGTTTACATATTTTACATTACAACAAATCAATGTCAACAATTGTCAACATCGGATAAGGCCGGGACCGCACTAGGACCAATGTTGGCGCCGCAGTGCGGTCCCGATCCACGGCCTGTCGACCAATCAAATTCTCCATATTTTCGGAATACACGGCCCGCAACGAGACAATACAAACAAAACATGACTGACGTCTGCTGTCAGATCACGAAACTTTCAATTTAAAAGAATTAAGGCGGGTTTGGGCTTTTGATGATTGTTATTTTTTACAAAAACTAATGATTTTTTGTAAAAGCGTTATGAAATTGACACATTTTGACATTCATTAGAATTTTGAAATGACACTCTTTTAGGCACTAGTGCCTAAATTTTCCTTTTAGGCACTAGTGCCTAAAAGTAAAAATAATACATTGAAATCAATGAAAATATTTATTTATTATAAATTTGAAAGGTACAATTATGTAAATTGTTAAAGTGAATACTAGAGGAATCCAACTTCTCTTCTCTAACAGCAATGCAAGTACTAGTAGTTGGAATGAATAAACTGCTAGTACTGGCACTACTGGCAATGCTAACTTCTACTTCTGAGTGAGTTTCTCCTATTTTTTTATTTGGCATATCTTTCTGCCCTATGATTCTTTTTGCTATTTCGTTTTTCTGTTCAATTGAATTTTCAATATAACTCTCGGCAACTGAGCTTGATCGCCAACCTCCATGTCGCTTTAAAAGTGTCATGTCCGCTCCAGAATCTGCCAACATCGTGGCAGAACTTCGTCGGAAGCAATGACCAGTGTATTCATTGGCGTTGGAGAGTCCAAGGAATTCCGCTATCTTTTTTGGCATACCTCCAATTGTATTGATTCCAACTGGCAGAGTACAGCATTTATTACTTCGATATGTCAAGAAAAATCGCTGGTGTGTCGTATGGAGTGGACGAAGTTTTGCGTACTTACGAAACAGATCTAAAAAATTGATACCTTCTATTGATCCCTCAGTAATAGTGAACATTCTTGGAACATGAGTTTTTGTTTTCGGAATTTTGACACTGATAAACGACTGACAATCTTTAATGGCATCTAATTTCAAAAATGTGATTTCTTCCCTCCTACATGCTCCAAATACTCCAACAATTAAGACAACTTTGGCTAACAGGAACTCTTTATCATCGGCTTGTTTCAAAAAACGTTCTATTTCCAGCTTTGTAAATATTTTCGATTTCTTTGGCTGATACCCGGTAGCTTTCCTTTTCAAAAATGCAATCAGGTTTGTAAATTTGCTTATATCTACGTTTTTGTTCAGGTAAATCATGGTACGGAGCATCGAATATTTGCTCCACAAAGTTGACGGCCTCAAGGTGGTGGATAGCTTCAAGAAATAGGCTAGTAATACCTTTTCTGTAAAATTCTCAGAATTTTTTTCTATGGCCCAGGTTTCAAAGTTGTTGTAGGTCTTTCCATATATATCCTTCGATTTTTCAGGCACTAAAGTGGATAGTGCAGCTTCAGCAGCTTGTTCAATATCCAAAGACTCGTCACTATCATCCATTTTCGACAATTTTTTCTCAAAACTTTGCTGGAAAGACGACGACACGGACGCGAGACTTTCGAAGTTGACAAAACTTTGATGCAAACAAACAACCACCAAACAATGCATATGGCATAAACAATGCCTTGGAAACAGATTGCCTGGCCACTTTTCAAAATGTTTGAAAATTCCAATAAAAGAATATAAATATTAAATTTTGTGCTTTTACAAAAAATCTTGTATACAACACGTTGCGAAACGATGTCTTTTAGTCACTTGACGTGTTGTCCAACTCGGCTTCGCCTCGTTGGACAATTTCCACGTCGCGTGCCTAAAAGACGCTCATTTCGCAACTTAGTGTATAAATAGCTATTCTTTCAAAAAGTTCGAAGAGAAAGTAAAGTCTGTTTTTTTTTTTAAAGATAATTCCCCAAGTCAAAAATTTAGTAACTACCCACATAACAAAATTGCATTCTTAGAATGTATTAAGAATATTCTTTTTTTAAGAGGAATGTGCCTAGAATGTTCGCCAAAACCATTGCGAATGTCCTGAGAATGTTCTGAGAAAAGATTGTAGAAATACTGTTTGCAATACCCAAGAACTTCCTGGGAAATCCATTAGGATATTCCTAGAATATACCTATGAGATTCTCAGTACATCCTGAAAAGAATATTCCTGTTTGATTCTAAAAATATGCTCGAAATGTATATTCTCATATTCAAATAATGTTTCTATGACATTATAGTTATGTTCTCAGAAGAATATTATACCAATATGCTTGAAATATTCTTAGAATATATCTACATATATCATTCTCAATATGCATCCTAGACATAACATTCTTGTTTGATTCTAAGGATATACTTGGAATGTTAATTTTCTTTTCCAAATAATGCTCCTTCCAGTCCTTTTATATCAAAGGCAGTGAAAGACTTGTTGGTAAATTTCTCTGGAAAACACAAGTGTTTAACCAAAGCTCCGGTTTCGAGCTTGTTATACTCTCGTCGGAGCACGCCAACTGAGAGAAACAGGTTTCAAGGTGATTCAAACGCGAGGCAAGATGTAGATCTTTAATAGCGCGTGGCTCCCTCTCTTGGAAGTCCTACAAAGCAAAAGAAAAAGAATATACTTATTATATTCTTAGAAGGTTCTAGATAGAGCTTTATTGTTTAATTGTTCAATTGAGTTTTGAGTAGGTACTTTAGATAATTAGGTGAACAATATGGAAATATTCTTATCATGGGTACCTACCTACATAAACTTCTCAGCACAACTTGGTAGGTATATTCCTAATACTTGATAGAGATATTAGCCGAAAGAACATTTTTTAGGGTACATTATAATAATGTTCGTATGAGAATATTCATATAATTTTATATAAAGTAGGTTCTTAGCACAATCTTTCAGGTAGGTGCATAGAAGCAACATTCCTAGTACATAAATAGAACGTTCAAAAATGAATATTCCATTCGAAACAATCTTAGAATATTCATTGAACATTCCTAAAAGAACATTCCAAAAAGCACTTTGAGGGAATATTCTGAGAATATGAAGGTTCTTTCACTGTTATGTGGGTATGTTGGCAACAAAACACAAGCCTTTTCTACATAAAAAATTTGAAGCATTGACAATTTTACATTGTACATAATGTCAGTTTGACTTTTATCTTTAAAAAAAAAAACAGATTTTTAGTCTTCTACACGCAAATAATGGCTATTATTCACGAGAATGAAAATTCAAACACGAGCCGAAGGCGAGTGTTGGAATCATTCGAG